GCCAAATTATAAATATGGAAAGAGGAGACGAAGATCGCGAAGATTACCACTAAATACAACTGAATGACAAATTTTAGTGTTCACTGAAATGTAGTTCACCCTACCAGCATCATCTTGTGTAAGTCCGCCATCAGCGGCACGTTCCCTTTGCAGAGTATGATTACAGTCCCAGTAGGGTCCAGACCTCTCCGGCCAGCTCGGCCAGCCATCTGAATATATTCACCAGGCAGCAAATCCCTAAAACTTGTCCCATCGTGCTTTCTGGTTGTATCAAACACCACTGTACGAGCCGGCATGTTGACGCCCATGGCAAACGTTTCAGTGGCGAAGAGGATCTGAAAACATGCCCAATATTCATTCAACATCAGGCTGTCAAAATCGCAACAAGAACAAACACACCACTACTGAATATCATAGCCATATCAACCCCTACCCGCCCCTCAACACCGCGGTCAATACAGCAACAAGGTACTGTAAGAGTTCTCCAACCACGAATATATGAGGCGCGAAAACACAACACCCATGAAAAACTCACCTTTACCAAGCCTCGTCCAAACAGCATTTCCACCATCTGCGTAATAAAGGAATTCTCTCAGCAAAACTGACATTAACCCTTTAACTCACTGAAGTGATTGACATGAAACTTCTCCTCATAATATACTTACATTATCCAGCAAACAGGTTATAAGAATACTACAACTTATCAGGTGGGATTTATCCTGATCTAATACCAAATTCTTATAAATCCCGTACGGGCCTGAATCTTTTTCAGGTCTTATTTAAACTACTAGTTCAGTACTGTTTATAGCTGCGAGGATCTCTTATATTCGTTTCTTCACCGCAGTGCATATATATGATTTTCATATATCTACAATCATTATTCTTATAACTAATCTACAAGAAAATGTAACAGCTAGAGGGGAGAATTAACAATCAGATCTTGGGAGTTAAAGGGTTGAGGAGTTTTATGCTCAACACTATCAACCCAATAAGAATGTTCGCGGATTGTAAGGGTTGCGTGACAACTTTAAGGAGACAAGACAATGATGTTGTAATGGATAATTCTGGCGATAATAACAACTGAAAATCACGTTAGCTAACTGGAAAATAGATGTCAGGTTACTCGACCTATTCAGGCTAGAATCATTGTCGCAAGAATAAATCTAGCCCTGAATAATATTACCACACAGACCTCTTTAATGATAGGC